GAGAGGAGAATGGAGGAGAAGGGGGTGCGGCGTGGCCATCCCCCCTGGGGGGCGATTTCTCGCTTTCTGTCTCTCCGTCTCTCTCTGTCTGTCTGGCAAGCACATGCGCCCTATAGTGAAAATCTCTCCAAAAAAAAAAAAAAAAAATACCACTAAGAAGGGAAGCAAATAGACAACAACGATACGGAAACGGCTATTTAACTTAGAGAACACTTTGAGAAGAGTGTTATAAATGTCTTCACAGTACAATTTCTTTCTGACTAATTTTTGTGCTTTTGAATGAACAGCTACACAGTTTAGACCCTCCTCTTGACGAGCCTTGGCTGACAGGTGTTTCATTACACCTGCCAACAGCTACCTGTCATGACACTGTTCTTTTTCTTTCCTGCCAGAGGGCATAGGCGCTCACCAGAGAGAAACAGAGACAGACGGAAAGCAAGGAACTCCTACTAGGGGGAATGGTCATGCCACAACCCTTTCTGCTCCATCTCTCCCTTCTTTGGGGATTTAAGACGCACTCACACTTCCCTGGCATGTCTTCCAAGCTGCTGGGACTGGGATCGATTTCATATAGCTGGGCATGTGGAATCCAGCTGCCTTACCCACCAGGCGTAGGCCAGCTCACTAACATTCCGGCCACCCTTAACTTAGTGGCAGATTTTCAGCTTTAGTGCTCAATTTCTTCCATAGTTCCCCAAATGTGTTCGTTTATTTATTAATTTCTTCCATTTTATTTTGTTTAAGTCATGGCAGAGAATGATCAGCCAAGGTGTATAGATCAAAATATCGTTCACTTTCTTCTTCCGTAGTTATTTCTGTGGCCGTTTCTAATTTACGTAGAATGGCTGGACATCTTCGTTTGGCTTTCCATGCATATTCAATGTGTGATGATCAAAGCAGGGCCGTAAACATACCCACCGTCGCCAGTATTTATTCTTACTTTGTGTTACACGTGTTCAAAATCAGCTCCTCTAATTATTTTGAAATATGTACTGAATCGTCACCAACTGTCTTTACTGCGTTATCATATTCTATAACCTGATTATTTCAGTGCAAAGGTGTAAGGAAAATCCCAGAGATAATTTTCTTTCTAGAGAGATTTTTGCTATAAGGTACATGCGCTCGCCTGAGAGACAGAGAGAGACAGAAAGTGAGAATCACCCCCTGGGGGGATGGCCACGCTGCAAATCCTTCTCCTCTATTCTGTCAGGATTTTAGGCATGCGTGCACACGCACCCCAGCGTGAGTTTCAAGCCTCTGCATCCAGGACTCAAGCTGCAGTCGGCCATGTGGGAGTCCAACAATGTCACCATTACGCCACCTGCTGGTCCCCCAAGGGATAATTTTCAATGGATATTGAACATTTTGCTTGGGTGTACATTGCATTGGGGGGTACATTTTCACTCCCCTGGTGTTATGTTACTAAGATAAAAAATTCCAGAACCTGACATTCAGTCATTAGGTTGTAAGGCATAGGTGCCGGGCACTGTGCTGGGTGGGCACCTCGTGTGAGCCTACCCCTCCATTCCATGACTTCCTGGCACACAAAGAATGAAACCCAGACTCCTAACCCGCTCTGCGTAGCCTGAACTCTGGGGTCAGCCTCACAGCCACCACACCCGGTGTTTACGATGCCCCGTCCCCACTGTCCTGCCTGTCTGACCAGCATGCCCTGCTCTCCTTGAGGCCTTTACTCTTCCCTCTGCCTAGAATGTTCTTCCCCGGATCTTCTGTGGCTTCCTCCTTTTTATTCAGGTCTCTGGTCAAATGTGCTCCTTCGCTGACCACAGCAGCAAAGCAGTTCTTGCTGTCTGTTGGATTGGATTCCTATTTCATATAGCTGATTTCTTTGTTTCTACACCTCCTGCCCTGCCACTCCAATCAGAAAACAGAAGCACCGGGAGAGCAAGGAGCCTGAATATTTTGCTTTTCCCTGTATCTCAGGATATAGGATATAGTAGCTGCTCAGTAAACGTTAACTGAATGAAGGACTCTCATTTCTCAAAATGACCTTGTAAGATAGGCAGGATGTATTTTATACACATTATAAACATGACTTGTAATCAACTAAGCTAATCAGAGGAGTCTCTGGGGTTTGGACTTCCCTGGTATGAATGAATACCACTTTCAGCCACTCTTTTTCAGTCACTGGAGATGTTGACATGATTCTGATTAGGATCATCAGCTCATCATTTTGAAAGGAATATACAGACTTGGGGCATTTATAAACTGCACGTGGTAGATCTGAGAAAGCTTGATATCAGGCCAGCCAGTGCCATGGTGATTCCGGTAGCCAGATCCCACTTGGCTGATTGTGCAGTTTGAATCCCAGACCCACCAGGTGGCTTGAAAACCATGCCAGGCACATGTGTGTGCAACGTCTTCGATCCCAAAAGGAGGGAGAAATGGAAGAGAAAGGATTCCATGTGACTATTTCCGGTAGGGGGGTGTTTTAGCAACCCCCTAGCCCTTAGCAGACATACGTGCAGAATTCAAAAGAAAAAGAAAGCCTGTTCTAAAAAAGTGTGTTTTTTTAAATTAATTAATGTACCAGATTGAGTTATTCTTTCTATATTTCAAAGAACAGGTAAGCATTGAGATAACCCTGCATTTTTATTTATGACTACTTTCTCATCTCCTTAAAACTCCCTTGAAATTATCAAATGCCCTGTCGTACAGTCAATATATATAAATTAGAAATTACAGTAAAATTATTAAAAACTTTTTAATAAAAGAAAGACTTTCTAAAATTATAATGAAAATGCCTCACTGAAATGGATTTAAGAGATTGGATAGAGATCCCTTCGTTAAAATGATAAAGACAAAAAAATAAAAATACAACTGATTAAACATAAAATGTTTATCATTTAATTTATTTCTGTACTATTACGATCAAGCTTAACATGCTGCAGAAAAATTTCCTTTGTATTTTATCCCAAAGTATTATAATAGGATTTACTTTCTCTCTAAGCTTTATCGCAGGGAAATCAAAATGCATATCTTATTAGTTACCTGTTATTATATATTTTTTATATTAAGCTACCTTCATGTTTCTCGTGAAAATTACAGCTGAGAGGAAAAAAGAAGTCCCTGAGAAAGCCCATTCCACTCGGTGTTGTTGGTTAGCACACTTTACTTCTTAGTTTCTAGCGTAAGTCTATACCTCGCACACACGCATGCACACAGTGATTATTTACATGTAATTCAACGCTCAAGATGGAGATGTAAATTTTTATAATTACTTAGAATGCAGTGTGCAATGGGAAAACATTTACATACACAGAAGAAGAAGGAATGCGTAACTGTGGGTTACTACGCGTGGCCTCTGTGGTGAGAGGCCAGTAAGTTCAGTAGAGAAGCCCCATACCTTATTCACACTCAAGAAAGCAGAAGAACAAAGGGGAGAGGATTTGTAAGAGGTCTCTGAAGTGTGGATAGCAAAAATACAGTCAGAGGCCTTCAGCTGAACTTAGGGTATAAAAAAATAAAAGCACATAGCGTCGAAACCAGACAAGGTGACTCTTTTCGGTTGGGTGGGAAGGCTCAGGTAGAAGTGATTGACACAAGAATACATGTAGGGGTCGGAAGGTGGCGTGGTGGTTAAGGTACTGGATTCCCACGTGGGGAACTGTGGTTTGAGCCCTGGACCTGGTGGTTTGAAAATCATGCCAGGAACGTATTCTTCCCTGCCCAATATCCTGAGAGAAGACTGAAGGAGAAGGGATTACAGTGTGGCCATTCCCCCCGGAGAGTGATTTTTTACTTTCCCTCTATGTCCCTCTCCTGTAAGCACTCATACCCTGTGGCAAAAACCTTAGGAAAGAAGAAGAATGCTTATAAACATGACCAATAGGTTATCAAACGGTTTAACACAACAGAGAAAAACATGTTTAAGGGCATCACTTAGCTTATGCATACGCAGTACAAAAAAATTAATAGAAGAGAAATCAAAGTTGCACAATATGGGGCCAGCAAGTGGCATGGTGGTTAAGGTGCTGGACTCTCCCGTGGCCAACTGTGGTTGGTGGCTTGCTTTCTCACTTTACCCTCTCTCTCTCTCTGGTCAAATTAAATAATAATAATAAATAAAATAAAATAATGTTTTTAAAAAATTATGTACAATATAATCTAATGTTCTTTGGTGAAGATAATGAGTATGTAATATCCTTCATTGGATTATCTTACACTGCATGTGTACTTTGAAAATCGATATCGTACCCCACCAAAATGCACAATATAATATTAGAAATTATAGGGACCAGCAGTTAGCGTAATGGCTATGTCACTGGACTCCCATGTGGTTGACCACGGTTCGCGTCCCGGACCCGGTGGCTTAAAACTCACGCCGGGAGCGTGTGCGTGCATGCCCAAGATCCCAAGAGGAGAATGGAGGAGAAGGGATTGCGGCGTGGCCATCCCCCTTGGGGGGGTGATTTCTTGCTTTCTGTCTCTCTGTCTCTGTCTGTCTGTCTGGTGAGCGCATGCGTCCTATAGCAAAAACCTCTCAAAAAAAAAAAAAGAAATTATAAAATAAAATAAAAATAAATAAAAATTTGAGACATTACAGATTCTAAAAATGATAATAACTTCAACACCCAAATCATGGGTACTTCAGTTTTGTTAAATGAAGAAGGCTTCTGTTCCACCCTATGGAATGGGCCATTCAGCTGACCAACTTTTCTGGGCACTTCAACAGTAAAGATAATGTAGAAAGTAGCAAGAGCTTTCTTCTGGGCTTACAGCTGGCATCTGGCATGTCCACAAGAAAGCTCAGAACTGGTGAGTTTGATGAGGCAAGAAACACCCCAGACGGTATGAAGTGATGTTTGATGGTAGTCATTAGAGGATTCATTAATGTAAGGGAAACTGAACTATAAACACCATACAAATGAAACATATTTTTCAAAAACTATTGACTGAAAATAATTGAATGTTTATTGGTTAAAAATCCACCTTACACGTTCACATTTAAAAATGTGTGTCCACTTGTGTGTTTTCAGATAACCACAAGGACTGTTCGGGCGTGTCCTTACACCTCACACGTCTGCCGTAAGTACTCCCAGTGTTCTCAGATGAGCGCAACTTGAAGATCTTTGGTAACTTAGGGTTGGAAAATCATTGTGTTAGCTCTTTCTTGTGGCTAACAAAGCAAGTGAAGTGGACTGGCCCGATGCAGTGGATCGTTATTGTCTGGTTTCCTGGGAACTGGTAGAACAGGATTCAGAGCACACTGTTCTGGCTCCTCTGGCTGGTGGTCTCTCACAGAGACCTCAACCGAAGCCTCTGCTTAGCTGGGGAGGAGCCACTTCCAAGATCACTCGCGTCATCGTTGGCAGGACTCAGATCTTCTGGGCTGTTGACTGGTCGCCCTCATTTGCCTGCCTTGTGGATTATAAACGGGGCAGCTGACACACAACACGACAACACGGCAGCTGGCTTCCCTCACAGAAAGGAAGCAAAAGAGCAAAGCAGGGCATGCCTGCAAGATGGGAGCAAGCTTCTCGTGACCGAATGGTGGGATGACGCACCGTCACTGCTGCCGTGTCATACTTGTTAGACATAAGTTACTGCACTTTTCTGAGCCCACACTCGAGGGGCGGGGATCAGGTAAGCTAGGAGTCGTGAGGACTGGATTCCTCAATGTTCTCCAACCAAACCTGAAGCAGTAAGGTATACAAATAAGTGTATGAGGGGACTTCAAATAGTTTGTGGGAAAAGGAATTAAATTTTGAGTTTATTTTGATGCAATTTTTTTTTACTTGTGAATATTTTTTTTCATGATGTGCATTTCCAATGAAACTTTTGAGAACCCTAGATAGGCTAGGTAGAGACTTAATACAAAGTCCACACTGTCACAGCGACTGACAAGTCCAGAATCCATGGGCCACCTGGAAATTCAGGGGCTGGATGCTGTGTTCTAGGGTGCGAAGGCAGTGTGTAGGCAGAGTCCCCTCCATTTCAGGGGACTTTGGTCTTTTATCTTAAGGCTTTCAGCTGATCAGATAAGGCCCACCAGCATTTTGGAGAATCCTCTGCTTTATACTCAGAGTCTGATTTAAATGTGAATAACAACTAATAACAACCTTTTTAAAAAAGAAAGTGCCTGGGATGATTTAAATGTGAATAACAACTAATAACAACTTTTTTAAAAAATAAAGTACCTTCCCAGGACCAGCAGTTAGCGTAATGGCTATGTCGCTGGACTCTCATGTAGTCAACCATGGTTTGAGTCCCAGACCCTGTGGCTTAAACTCACGCTGGGCGCATGTGCGTGCGTGCCCGAGATCCCAAGAGGAGAATGGAGGAGAAGGGATTGCGGCGTGGCCATCCCCCTGTGGGAGGGGTTTTGATTTCTCGCTTTCTGTCTTTCTGGTGAGCGCACACCCCCTATAGCAAAAAAACCTCTCCAAAAAAAAAAAAAAAAAAGTACTTTCCCAGCGACACTTAGATTGGTGTTTGACCAACAACCAGGCACCACAGGCCAGCCAAGTTGACACTTAAAATTTACCATCAGGGGACCAGTACGTGACATGGTGGTTAAGGTGCTGGACTCCCACATACTGGTCACGGTTCATATCCCTGACCTGGTGGCTTGCTTTCTCACTCACCCCCGCCCCTGCCTCTCTCTGATCAGAATAAAAATATTTAATACTAATAAGAAACAACAATTTTTAAAAATTTACCATCAGAGGAACCATGCACAGTTTGCCTTCACAAGAAGACAATTCTTAAGGAAAAAAAATATATATTCTACCTTTTCTTCCTGTCATTTCATTTCAGTCTTCACAAAAATCACATTTTATGAAACAATGGGTTGAGGTACACCCCCTTTTCCCAAGACAATAGTATTGACTTTTCCAGGTCATTGAGAGAAATGTCTTCTTTCTGCAGACAGCCTCTAACTGCCGGCATGTACCTGATGATGTCTGTGGACACGGTTATCCCCGCAGGAGAGAAAGGTGAGCGGGCCTCCTTAGTATCTACTGTGACTCGTTACCCAGACAGGTGGCTTGGCAATATGTTTCCATAAACTTTTTAAACGACCAGTGTATTTGTGTCTCTGAAAAATGAACAATTTCTTATTGCCCTTGGATATAATATAGACTTTTGTATTATTCCATGCTAATGATATATTACTTCTCCATTGCTTATGGATCGTGATGCTAAGAATTGATGCCCATGGGTAGGTAGTGAGTTATATTCAAAAAATAAGTCTTGAATATGGTACAAATCGATCTAGTTTTTGGATGCAAAAGACAAATGATATAAAGAGGAACAGCAGAAAGTAGTACATAGAAAGGCTCGAAGTCAAGAGGCTAGCAAACCCAACACTGACTTAGTCTTTGGACTTAGACGTCCTGGCCTGTCCCTGCTTGCAGAATGGGAATGATGACCCCTGACTCTAGGCTGCAGGAAGTTGTGAGCTGTATTAGGTAACATTGTCGAGCAGTATACTTGAAGACCCACCCCCCACCCCACCCCCATGAACGTGTTGTATTAAATGCCATTCATTTGATCCTTCTGGGAATTTAAAAGTCAATGACCCATGTGGTCTTGGTGTTATTGCTCATCTATTACAAAAGAACTATTTATTGAAGAGCTATCATGTGTTAGACTTCAAGGAAGAAACTATGGTCGTCTCAACGGAAACTGTCAACCTAGTGATCTTGGGTGTCTTTAATTGTTCATAAAACCCTTTTGTTCCCAAAATAGAAAGTAATTTTTAAGCATTTTAGCTGGATACATTTCAAAATAAAGGTAACAGGTCAGGCCCATGTTTTCACTGACAGGAGATTTTGATTTGGCCCTAGTCATTTTGTTTATGCATAAAATAAAAATGTGAGGTGAGGGGGATCTTAACTCATCATAGTGAAGTGACCGGCACTGAGTCCGTGCTGCTGTCTGCGGAGCACGTGAGAGTGTGTGTGTTCTACGTAAAACCCCATCCCGGCCTCTCGTAACACCCTCTACATACTTTTAGACGAGAGTAATGTCCTTTTCTGTTGAATAGTGACTTTTTTTCTGTGTTTTCATTTCTCACAGTGGTGAATTCTGACATTTCATGCCATTATAAAAATTACCCAATGCATGTCTTTGCCTATAGAGTTCACACTCATCACTTAGGTAAGAACTTTAAACTACGTGTTATATTATACATATGTACCTTTGTGCTTGCCAGTTCTGTAAATGTAAAATGTAAATCGTATTTGACGGTTAAAATAAAATCATTAAGTCTGTATTTAAAAAAATCATTTTACACAATACTTTGTGATTTCTTAATACTGTTTCATTGTATTCTTTTCATTAATATACTTAGAACTTTGGATTCTGAAAACGTTCAGATTTTATTTTAAATTAGGGAAGCAAATAGGCACCCTACCGTACCCTGTCATATGATTATTATCTGTGTGATTACAGGCAAGGTGGTGAGTGGATACAGGGTAAGAGATGGGCAGTGGACACTGATTGGACGCCAGAGCCCCCAGCTGCCACAGGTATGTGTGTAGAGTCTAATATGAGAGAAAAAATACCAATCAGCAGG